ACACACACACACACACACACACACACACACACACACTCACACAGAGCACGTCTGAGACAATGGATGCCTGCAGATCTACACTTTGTTGAGGCTGTGATGTCATAACCTACTGCTCTGAACTCTGACCTGTTGACGTGTTTTGTGCTATTACATTTCCCATCAGACACCCATGAGCAACCAGAGAAACTGAACGTTTGGGTGATTCCATCCATCAGCGCTGAGGGACTGTAAAGAGCTTCAGGTGTGACACTGTCCTGACTGTCTGTCTGTCATCCCTCCACTCGTCTGTCTTCATCATTCGTTTATTTCCTCTCTCAGCTTTCATCTGCAATGTTGCTCAGCAATGTGTCCATCTCCTCTGAAACTCACGCCTAGCCTTTATTTCCAGTTTTCTGTATTTTTCTCCTCTCTCCAGAGGTGACATCTCTTCCTGTCAGTCACTTCTGATTGGATCTGTCCTCTTCATCCCCACACATTTATAAATGACAATCTCTCTCTCTTCAAAACATTTCAGACTTGACAATCTGTGTCAGAGAGCAATCAAACCACTCAGAACTGACAAACAGATTGATAGATGAAAAGACAGTTTAGACAGACAAATGGACAGAACTTACAATGATAGAACAATAGACAGACAGACAGACAGACAGATAGATAGATAGATAGATAGATAGATAGATAGATAGATAGATAGATAGATAGATAGATAGATAGATAGATAGATAGATAGATAGATAGATAGATAGATAGATAGATAGATAGATAGATAGATAGATAGATAGATAGATAGATAGATAGATAGATAGATAGATAGATAGATAGATAGATAGATAGATAGATAGATAGATAGATAGATAGATAGATAGATAGATAGATAGATAGATAGATAGATAGATAGATAGATAGATAGATAGATAGATAGATAGATAGATAGATAGATAGATAGATAGATAGATAGATAGATAGATAGATAGATAGATAGATAGATAGATAGATAGATAGATAGATAGATAGATAGATAGATAGATAGATAGATAGATAGATAGATAGATAGATAGATAGATAGATAGACAGACAGACAGACAGACAGACAGCTAGATACAGACAGACAGTCAGACAGACAGATACAGACAGACAGATAGATACAGACAGACAGTCAGATAGATACAGTCAGCTAGATACAGACAGACAGTCAGGTAGATACAAACAGTCAGACAGCCAGACAGACAGATAGATACAGACAGACAGTCAGCTAGATACAGACAGACAGTCAGCTAGCGACAGGCAGTCAAGTAGATACAGACAGACAGTCAGATAGATACAGACAGACAGTCAGATAGATACAGACAGTCAGTCAGACAGACAGATGCAGACAGACAGTCAGGTAGATACAGACAGACAGTCAGCTAGAGACAGACAGTCAGGTAGATACAGACAGTCAGACAGATGCAGACAGACAGACAGCTAGATACAGACAGACAGTCAGACAGACAGATACAGACAGACAGATAGATACAGACAGACAGACAGTCAGATAGATACAGACAGACAGTAAGGTAGATACAGACAGACAGTAAGGTAGATACAGACAGTCAGACAGATGCAGACAGATAGACAGCTAGATACAGACAGACAGTCAGGTAGATACAAACAGTCAGACAGCCAGACAGACAGATAGATACAGACAGACAGTCAGCAAGATGATACAGACAGACAGTCAGGTAGATACAGACAGACAGTCAGCTAGAGACAGACAGTCAGGTAGATACAGACAGTCAGACAGATGCAGACAGACAGTCAGGTAGATACAGACAGACAGCTAGATACAGACAGTCAGGTAGATACAGACAGACAGACAGTCAGACAAATGCACACAGATAGATAGATACAGACAGACAGTCAGGTAGATACAGACAGACAGTCAGCTAGATACAGACAGACAGACAGTCAGCTAGATACAGACAGATAGATACAGACAGACAGACAGTCAGCTAGATACAGACAGTCCGACAGATGCAGACAGACAGACAGACAGCTAGATACAGACAGACAGTCAGGTAGATACAGACAGACAGACAGTTAGACATACAGATACAGACAGACAGTCAGCAAGATACAGTTAGACATACAGATACAGACAGACAGTCAGCAAGATACAGAGAGACATACAGATACAGACAGACAGTCAGCAAGATACAGAAAGACATACAGATACAGACAGACAGTCAGCTAGATACAGACAGACAGTCAGGTAGATACAGACAGACAGACAGCTAGATACAGACATACAGTCAGACAGTCAGGTAGACACAGACAGACAGTCAGATAGATACAGACAGACAGACAGATGCAGACAGACAGTCAGGTAGATACAGACAGACAGCCAGATAGAGACAGACAGGCAGATACAGACAGACAGACAGTCCAGACAGTCAGCTAGATACAGACAGACAGACAGTTAGACATACAGATACAGACAGACAGTCAGCAAGATACAGAGAGACATACAGATACAGACAGTCAGCAAGATACAGAGAGACATACAGATACAGACAGACAGTCAGCAAGATACAGAGAGATAGATAGATACAGACAGACAGTCAGCTAGATACAGACAGACAGTCAGACAGACAGACCGATAGATACAGACAGACAGACAGTCAGCTAGATACAGACAGACAGACAGTTAGACATACAGATACAGACAGACAGTCAGCAAGATACAGAGAGACATACAGATACAGACAGTCAGCAAGATACAGAGAGACATACAGATACAGACAGTCAGCAAGATACAGAGAGACATACAGATACAGACAGTCAGCAAGATTTAGTTTTAGTAATTTTAGTACTACAAATTAAATTTATTGTATTTCAGTTAGTTGTCAATGCAACATTTATAAATTTTGTAAGTTTTGTAAGTTTTTCCATTTAATATTTATATGTCAGCTTTATTTAAATTAACAGAAATTATTTTACTAGCTTTAACTTTGTTTAACAGTGACAACACTGATGCAACACATGTCAAGAAAAACTGTAATTTTAAAGAAAAAAGAATGTAAAAATGGTTCAGTAAAGTAAGCTTACTAAGTATTAACAATTTTCCCATGCATTTTTTCCTCTGTAAAATATAGTTGTTTCAAATGAATAATGAAAGATTGTGTGTATCTTTAGTCAGATGCATTTGCATTGTGACTGTGCCTCAGACGCAATCAACAGGAACGGTCTGTAAAGGTGTGAACCAAATGGTCCATACAATTATAATAACAAAGGAACAGCATTCCTCAGGAACTTCTTGTAGATTGCAGGATCTCCAGCGGGAGGTTCTAACAGTATCTACTGTTTGTAGCCCTTTTGTCTTCAGGTATAAAGTTCTGTCTCACAGACAGAACTTTGGGAGAAGCTGAGATTCTTAGGCTACGTTTACACGACAACGATATAGTCAAAAACGGAAAAGTTTTTCCCTTGCATTTTTAAAAAGTTTCACGTATACACGACAACATTTTCAAAACGATTTGCGTTTACACATATCCGCGAAAACGGCCAAAAACGCTGTATTACGTATGCCAGGCCAGTAGTTGGCGCTGCCACCTTGTTAGTAAACCGTACCTGTAGGGAAGTGACGATTATATGTTGTACATGATGCGTCTCCACTGTTGGTTTTAATATTTTTGAAGTAAATCCACATTTTGCTGAAGAAGCGTTAGCAAACTCTTGAGCAGCAACAACAGTACCATGTACTCCGCCATTGTTGTGTATGTTTGTTCGCGCTTGCCTTTAAAATCGACACGTACTGCGCATGTCTACATACCTAACACGTACTACTGTGCGCATGACATCACCGTTTTCAAAGATTACCGTTTTGGGTTTTTACACAGAAACGATAACGGTGGCGTTTTCGAAAACTTGCACTTTGAAACCCGTTTTCAAAAATATGCATTTTCGGACCGTTGTCGTGTAAACGAACAGGCAAAACACATAAAAAGTTTCCCGTTCTTGGCTGAAAACGTTGTCCTGTAAACGGCCCCTTACAAGGGTTAAGATATTTTGAAGACCAACAAGTTAACATCTCTGTTGAAGACCTGCTATACTGCTACCTTCAATAAATTCTTCTCCCCACAAGAACTCTGGTCAAGCTTACTTATTTTATTGTATAAGAGAAATCGAATACATTGGCGAGCAACCCAAACCACTGCTCAGCCAAATACAGCTAAATCTAACAATTACCATATAATTTAGAGTAAAAATTTATATTATATTTAGCACAACAAAATATACTACTTTAAAAATCATACTTCAATGATAATTATTGGTAAAATTATGTTTTTACAAGTAAACAGCATTATTTAGCTAATAATTAAAGGGGAAAAAGGGCTACCCATCAAATTCAATTCCACAATGTATTTAAAAAGTTTTTAATATTTATTAATTTATATATGTGACCCTGGACAACAAAACCAGTCATAAGTGTAAATTTTTGGAAATTGAGATTTATACATATACATATATGGTTTGTTAGGATAGGACGATATTTGGTCGAGATACAACTATTTGAAAATCTGGAATCTGAGGGTGCAAAAAAATCTAAATACTGAGAAAATTGCCTTTAAAGTTGTCCGAATGAAGTCCTTAGCAATGCATATTACTAATAAAAAATGATGTTTTAATATATTTACAGTAGGAAATTTACAAAATATCTTCATGGAACATGATCTTTACTTAATATCCTAATGATTTTTGGCATAAAAGAAAAATCGATCATTTTGACCCATACAATGTATTTTTGGCTATTGCTACAAATATACCCGTCACATATGTATATGAATGAATATACATTAATGTGTGAGTTTTTTTTTTTTCTAATGGGGTTATCAGCTTGAAAATCAAGTTGGCCACCAAGTCTTTTCAGATTGGATTAACATGATATGTTCATGATACGATTATCATTTGATTCTCACTTCCGGTTATGATGTTAGTAAAACAGAACACAATACTGTGTTATTGTTGTTGGTTCAACATTTGTTATGAAAAAGAGCTTACATTTGTATTTCTCCTCCAGGTGACCCTTACAAAGAGAGAGAAGACCAATCTTCATGGACAGAACTCGAATTTTCCCACTGCGACCCCTGTGGCATACAAAAACATTGTGGCTAAGAGAAAGAAGCAGCTATAAGCACATGACAATACTATACATCTGCCCATTATCGATTAGGGAATACATTTTAGTAGTGTTTAGTTTGTATAACACTGAGTCTATGTTGGAAGCATCCAAGGTCGCAGCTTGAGGGGATCTGAAATACACCACAACACATCAATCACCTGTGAGCGCCAGGCGAGCCTTCAGCAAAACGAGGGGATTTCTTTGTCTCCTACCTGATTCACAACGGGAATGCACTGACTTAAAAATATTCAGAACAATGAAACAACTTTAATGTTATTATTTGCACAACTGCATATGGGTCAAAGATGTTAAGATGTCCGCATCAAAATAAATTGACAAAAGTGATTTTATGTCCATAGAAAGCACATTAAATGTAAGTGTCTACATTTAAGGTTTCAAATAAGTTTTTGGAGAATAAACAACAGGCTTATTCTGACTTGTACATATTAAAATATATAAAAGAATAAGGGAACATATTAAATTGTATTGTGTTTTAAATTAGTAAAAAATTCTTACTGACAAATGGGCAAAATCTAGGATAGTGTCAAATAAAAAAATAAAAATTTTTTTACAACTAATTAGTATTTGGGGTGAAAGTAATTAGTTTTTTAACATGTCATAAACTGATTTTTGTTGTAAATATGCCTGACAAGATTGTTACACTGAATGACATTTTAGTGGGTGTCTTCTGTAAATCAGGGAAAAATGTATGATATTTATTTTTTGCTCGGAAAAACAAAAACAAAATTGCAATTAAATTAAACAGAAAACTTTTTACATTTTTTGGGGAAAAACAACAACAATTTAAAGCAGTATTACACCTATTGTTTTTATGCTTAAACCCTTTTTCGTCTTTGACCCATATGCTATGGAAGCCAGTTTTTGCCACTGAATAAAAAGAAAAAAAAGGTAATTGTGACATTTTATCTTGACTTTTTTCTCAGAATTGCATTATATAAAGTTGCAATTGCGAGAAAAAAAGTCAGAACTGCTTGTTTATATCTCACAATTCAGACTTTATAACTCCCAATTGCGAGTTTATATCACACAACTTTTGCGAGATGCAAACTTGCAATTGTGAGGAAAATGTTGCAATTTTGAGAAATAAAGTTAGAATTGTGTGATATAAACTCTGACTTTTTTCACAACTGTGAGTTTACATCTCACAATTCTGTCTTTTTTTCTCAGAATTGCATGATGCAAACTCGCAATTCTGACTTTATAACTCGCAAATGCAAGCTTATATCACATTTCTGAGAAAAAAAGTCAGAATTGCGAGATGTAAACTCGGAATTGCGAAAAAAAAAAAAAAAGTCAGAATTGCGAGATGTAAACTCGAAATTGGGGAAAAAAAAAAAAAAAGTCAGAATTGCGAGATGTAAACTCTGAACTAAGAAAAAAAAAAAGTCAGAATTGCGAGATGTAAACTCGAAATTGCGAAAAAAAAGTCAGAATTGCGAGATGTAAACTCGCAATTGCGAAAAAAAAAATTTTAAATTGCGAGATGTAAACTCGAAATTGCGGAAAAAAAAAAGAGTCAGAATTGCGAGATGTAAACTCGCAATTGCGAAAAAAAAAAAAAAAAAAATGTCAATCATAATTGCGAGATAAATAGTTGCAATTACCTTGTTTTATCTTTTTTTCAGTGGCGGAAACGGGCTTCCATAATATGCATATGATTAGAAACATAAGCTGATGAGTAGACCATCCTGAGCTTATTTTTATGTGAGTCTGATGTAGATATATATAATGAATAATAAAGTCTTAGCAATCAGTTTATGATATTTCTAAATCAAAACATAAGTTTTCAAATGGACACGGAAAATAAAATGACTGGAACAGCTGTGCCAAAAATTGTAACGGTGTTCGTCAAGTAAAGATGTGCATCATTCTGGTCATAATGTGAGCCATCTAGTGTTGTTGTGTCATAACGTGCCACATGTCTGGTGTAGAGACAGCGCAAGAGTGCAATACGTACGTGTCGTAGACATTGAGCAGCCAGTTGAGACACATGTCCACACAGAGCGGGACGTTGACCAGGTCTTTGTGCTCCTGCTCCAGTCCATCATACACAGACGTCAGGCAGTTGATGACCTCAGGAACCGTCAGCTGCTGGGAGTTTACCGTCAACTTGTGCTGCTGGAACATGGTCTGAGCCACACTCAGATCCAACAGATCCACTGAGACACAGAGAGAGACAATGTTGGTCTTCACTGAACTCAAAATCATGTGTAAGACTAATTCACCATGGGTCTCTTGAGATATTCCTATGAGGTTTTGTGATGGGGCTTATGAGTAAAATAAAGCCTGTGGTACACATAACGTCATGATACTTGGACGTTTTGTTCTACAACATAAATTGCAAACACCTTATGTACAGTAGTTAACATGTTTTCAAAAATAAACATAACTGCTTCTAAATTTGGTTTGCAGTATGAGTGTGTGTAAATTAAGTTGTATTGTAAAATGTTCAAGTATCAGTTTCATTCATTTTATAAAATGTTAAATTTATATTTACCACAGACTTAGTTTTACTCATATATTGGAAAACCCAATTATAAAAATTGAATGAATAATTAAATAATAATTAAAGTAATTAAAAAGATATTAAAGGGCATATTTACCACAAAGTGACTATGTAGCAATACAGTCATAAACAGTCATATTTTCTTAAATTATTTAAGAGAAATGTCATTTGAGTTCATCAATGAACAGTTTTGAGCAATGTTTTTAAATCACTTGAGGTTTGGATTGACTCGCTGAAATGAACTGAATTTACCAACTGGATTAACCGTTTTTTTGTTTGTTTGTCTTTTGCTACTGAAGTTGCACAGATGCTATTAAAGGGATAGTTCACCCAAAAATTAAAATTAGCCCATGATTTACTCACCCTCAAGGCATCCTAGGTGTATATGACTTTCTTCTTTCAGACGAACACAATCAGAGCTTTATTAAAAAAGTGTCCTGGCTCTTCCAAGCTTTATAATGGCAGTGATATGGGCATTTGTGAAAGAAAAATATCCATATTTAAAACTTTATAAACCATAATCTCTCGGTTCCACTAACTGGCGTACGCGTGTTCACGAGAGAGTGACGTTCTAGCAGATGAAGTAGGACGCACGAGTAGCGTAAGCTCCGATGAGAAGTGACGAACTCGGGAGCACAGAGGAGAGATCAAAATGTGGGATCTGTAAAGAAAGAGGGGACTGGTTTTCCTTTGCTGTAAACAGAACTTGGTTCTCGCGAGACTAGCACATTCTCACCGGAGCTTACGCTACACCTACATCATCCGCTGGATGCCAACTCTTTCATGAACGCGCGTATGACAGTTAGCGGAAGCTAGAGATTACAGTTTATAAAGTTTTAAATAAGGATGTTTTTCTTACAAAAACACATCGACACGCTTCTGAAGGCCTTTATTAACCCCCCGGAGCCATGTAGAGTACTTTTTATGATGGATGGACACACTTTATTGGACTTCAAAATCTCAACACCCATTCACTGCCATTATAAAGCTTGGAACAGCCAGGACATTTTTTAATACAACTCTGATTGTGTTCGTCTGAAAGAAGAAAGTCATATACACCTAGGATGCCTTGAGGGTGAGTAAATCATGGGCTAATTTAAATTTTTGGGTGAACTGTCCCTTTAAATCGGGAAACTCTGGGTTGTGAATCGTTTCACGATAGTGGCCATGTGTGGATGCATCGCTACTGCAGAGGCTGCTCTGTTGTAGCCTATTATTCACAGTTTACACTTTACTTTTACAAGTTACTTTTCACTTTTCACTTTCAAACAACCTCAAACCTCTCTGAAATCCACCGGACTCATCACAGTAGGTGCTCGTATGGATTGATTTTCACGTAGGCCTATTCCCCATGCACTATTTTTAATTGTTGATTAATGTATCAAATGGATGCTTTTGGCCATTAAATGCCTGTGTTTTTGCGGTTAAAGATACTGCCTCACATCCTTTGTGAACAGCACCTGAAGCGCTGGACTGCAGAAATGAGTCCTAAAAACCAGAAATGAGTTTTGCACCATCTTGAAGTCAATGGGTTTTTGGTTAAATGCCTGAAGTAACAATGTTACTTCAGGCATGTTCATGTTTTATCCTACAACATAAAATACATCAGGAAATCAACCTCAGGACTGTTTTACTTGTCTTGAAAAAGGCGACTGCTAACAAGGGTCTAAATGGGACTACACTATTTGTTAGGACATTAAACATCATGCTGAACAGAAAAAAAGAAACGTACACTCACACTCTTACAAATTATTCTAATGCAAAGTTTCAGTGAAGATGCTTTATAAATATAGACTGAAAGAGTTGTTGGAAGTCATGTGACCATGGTGTAGTTCATTTCTAGCCTTTGATTCGTTTTTTACTTCCGGCAATTCTTTTTAGGCTTTAAAAGTTCTGTTCATTTCTCGAGATTGTCTTGATGAACAAAACCTGTAAGAATCATAATACATTAGCCATTATTAGGATAATCATTGCATATATATTGCATTTATTTAATATATGCACAATTCTTTGTGGGCAGAGCTACGGAAATAGAAACTAGATAAGAAATAGAAGCTTCTGACGAAATGTCTTGTTAGTGTTCACAGCCGGTTAAGGCAAACGTACAGATTAACATGGAAGTTTTATTGCTTGTCACTTCATCGTGTCACGCTGTTAGGACACTGTGTCAGTGTCTGAACGATCAACACTATTCATCTTTGATGGAGCGATGGATGCCATATTCCCTGTTTACACTTTTTAATGAGACCAATTAACAACTCAAGAAACAAACACATGCAAATGAAGAGGACGTGAGGCATGGAGGCAGAGGAATGAGGAGATCACGTACACACACGCTCCTAACTCATTCTCTTTGTGCGGTTAATTGGGCCTCTCTGAGTTAATTGAGCCGGTGGAGTGAGGCGATGCAAGCATGCAGCTCTAATCATTTAACACACACACACACACACACACACACACACACACACAAACAGAGACTTACAGCAGAGTGCTTTCTGCAGCCGGCGGATCTTCATAGCCGTCCTGTACGCGGAGAACCGCACGTTGTTGAGGTCAGCTAAAAAAAAAACAGAAGAGAAAGTGCTAGAAAAGTAAACACCAAGGCTGTAAACTGAACTGAACTGCCTTGAACTGAGTCAGAATAGGAATGTTCAATGTGTGAAAAAGATGTTAGATTCACGGATGAATTCCGTTCTTTTAAGTCTGTTATTTTTAATGATTCGTGACATGTGATAACCATAAACAGCACACCATCTGACACAATCTACATTCACAAACTGAACTTGACAACAGAGTTATAAACGGCAGCATTTCATTAAATATTTCACAACAACAAGGACATAAAATGCAAAAAAAAAAGGTCTGTGTTAATGAGTGTGTATACATGTAACAAAGTGTAAAGGTAATATACGGTTAGTGTGTGTGTGTGTGTGTGTGTGAGTGTGTCTGTGTGTGTGTGTGTGTGTGTGTGTGTGTGTGTGTGTGTGTCTGTGTCTGTGTCTGTGTCTGTGTCTGTGTGTGTGTCTGTGTGTGTCAGTGTGTGTGAGTGAGTGTGTGTGAGTGTGAGTGTGTGGTGACTCTAGAGGTTTCCTGCCTTGCAGAGACAGCAAACACAGACACACACACCGACAGCAGGCCTCTGCGGACGGATGCTGTCCAGTATTTATTCAGCTGTGTATTTTAGTGAGACTTGAGCTGCTCTCAGCGGCCGGTAAGACGTGGATCTCTGTATGTGTGTTTGAGTCACTTACATAGAGAATGATAGAGCTCGGTCATCTTGGGATGGTCCCAGAACGTCGTCTGACTCTGATGACTGCAGAAGACAACAGAGAGGGTCAAACAGTCTGTTGTTATCGTGTGTGTTTGTGAAAGAGATGCGATTTTGGACACAAAAAGGTTTAGGGGTGAATGACTGAGCTGAATGAGAAAGAATGAAGGAAAAATAGCAAACGGACGAGATAAAGGTCTAGAGCAGAAATGGAGGCAGAGCTCATAGAAGCAGGAAGACGTGTCTTAAATCGGTTCTGACTGTGTGTGTATGCACTGGACTCTTTGTGCTATCCATTTCATTTAGTTCGGGACAGATGTGAGCTAACAGATCCATCCAGAAGCTTTTGCTTTTAGCTTGCCAGTGAACATCACACTGCAATCAAAGACAAAAAAAAAAAAAAAAGAAATCCCTTACAATATTGTGCTCAAAATCATACAGCGTGCACTGGGCTTAATAAAACACAAATCCCTTAGTGACTTAAATGAGCTCAATATGGGTATTGGCACCCTGTGGAGGAAAACAACTTTGCGTTTCATAGGAAACTACTACTCATATTTAAGATTAGTGATTTCAACAAACCCCTGAGCTATTACGTCTACTCTTCTAAGTAATCTGGATGGAAATGTCTGCCTGACAGATGATAAAACAGTCCAAATTAGAGCCATATCTAGAGACTAGAATATGATAGGGACTCATAGAATACCATAGGGACTTGGGTCAGTAAGTAACCGCCACACAGATCATCTTAGCAATGTGTTTGCCAGTTTTACAAGAGCAAAAGCAACTCATATTTTCCACAGATATCCTACACATTTGCCACTCAATGCTGACACTTCACTCTCTATCCAGTAACAATCAGTAATAGGGTCATTCCATGTCAACTCAACCAGAGGTCCCCAGCTCAAATGACTGATTTTGTTCATATTTATTCTGGTGAAAGAAATACACAAATGAAGTATACACAATGTATGTTTCACGTTTTTCTCCAAAGTTTGCATTTATGTTAACTCAAGAAGTATTAAAGATATCTTAATGCCTTTTTAGATATTGGATCTTAACAGACTTTCCTTTTGGCATCTTCATTTTTAAGGCCTTATATGGTCTCAGAAAAAAACCTTGAAACATGCTTTTTCACCTTTTTTTTTTTTGAATGGGCACCATTTATTGCATTCAATAATGCAATAAAGATTGCTGACGTCAACAGATTTTACTAACAGACCTCCCAGTCTATGTGTAAAAATATAATGCTGCCATGTTTGCCCTCATTTTTACTCCCCTGTAATTTGGCTCTGAATCTCAGGTGAAAATTGGCATTTTGAACCGCTTCTACAAAACAGTGGATCACTCTGTAAATATACATTCATGACAATTCATATTTTGGCTTTCATTGCTATACATGTTTTTCTTTCTTCAGAATAAATATTGACAAAATCAAAAATTTGAGCCAGGGAAGTTTCTGAAATTTGGTTGATTTGACACAGAATGACCCAATTACATTCTTAGATACAATTTTAGAAAAAATACCTCTGTAGGTATATACAATGCCAGTGAATGGTGACCAAAACTCTGTTTTGATTTAATCAGTATCGATCCTGCTCCTGAAGGTCCACTTTCCAGCACAGTTTAACTCCAACCTGCAGTGGAGTGAGCAGGACTGGAAAAACAGTATGTACGCTATAATGTAATTTCACCATACAACTTGTTGCTGCAAGCTCATGATTCAAGCTTGTCATCTTAGCATCTGAAGCATGAGCAGAGCTAGATGGTGCGAGGAAGTGTAATCAAGCTTGAAATCATGTTTGCCAAAATGACTGCGGATTTCATTTATAAAATTTATAAAATAGGACACATTTTGGTCCGTTCTCAGCACAAAGCCAAAAGGATTTTTACTCCCCTGTAATTTGGCTCTGAATCTCAGGTGAAAATTGGCATTTTGAACCGCTTCTACAAAACAGTGGATCACTCTGTAAATATACATTCATGACAATTCATATTTTGGCTTTCATTGCTATACATGTTTTTCTTTCTTCAGAATAAATATTGACAAAATCAAAAATTTGATCAAAAAATCAATCAAGCTTGAAATCATGTTTGCCAAAATGACTGCGGATTTCATTTATAAAATTTATAAAATAGGACACATTTTGGTCCGTTCTCAGCACAAAGCCAAAAGGGGAAGTCGTGGCCTAATGGTTAGAGAGTCCGACTCGTAACCCAAAGGTTGCGGGTTCGAGTCTCGTACCGGCAGGGATTGTAGGTAGGGGGAGTGAATGTACAGCGCTCTCTCCCACCTTTAATACCACGACTGAGGTGCCCTTGAGCAAGGCACCGAACCCCCAACTGCTCCCCGGGCGCCGCAGCATAAATGGCTGCCCACTGCTCCGTGTGTGTGTTCACGGTGTGTGTGTGTTCACTGCTGTGTGTGTGCACTTCGGATGGGATAAATGCAGAGCACTAATTCCTAGTATGGGTCACCATACTTGGCCACATGTCACGTCCCTTTCACTTTCACTTTTTCAAAACAGATTAGATCGGTTCATAAAATGTGCATTAAACCACTGATATGTTGCCTTTACGTGCTTTTTTGAGCTGCAAAGTTGGTCAACATTCGCTTTCATTGTTCCTTCAGAGCTGAAATATTTCTGAAATAATCTAAAAGTTTGTGTTCTGCAGGAGGAGGAAAGTCACACATCTGGGATGGCATGACAATTTTTATTTTTGCATGAACTATTTCAGAATTAACCACCAAAAATTTCATGCTGAATAATGTCTGGAGTGGATATAATCTTGAGGCCAACACCACATTTCAATTTCATTTCACATTTCACACAGTAATACCAGTAAATTGCTGTAAAATTACCGGAACGACTTTACCGGTAAATACAAAAATGAGCTGTTCAGGCAACGGCGTTCCATCTTTTTACCGGTAAAGCACACATCGGTTCCAAATTACTGGTATATTCTGTGACATCATTAACCAGAAATGACCTCTAAACGTCTGTGCGTCCCGGTGTTGTGTTTGTCAACATGGAGGGGTGTATGCGGTCAGTGTTTCTGAAGATGTTTTCATTTGTGTCAAACGTTCACATTCATGCAGCTGCTTTTGGCCCAGAGACATCCTATTAGACGACTTTTCTTTGACTGTCCTAAACAGCGCGGTGTAAATGCATCAACTGCATCAGCATGCTCTGATTGGCCCAGAGAGGAAGTCTACGCGAGCGTGTTCTGAACTCGTTGTGCTCATACCGGTAATCTTGTGCTGCGTTCACACGGAGCACATTACCATTAATTTACTGGTAATTTTACAACTTCTCATATTTTTTAAAAGGTACGGTTCACACATGATCTCTTAACATTCATTTACAGGTAATTTACCAGTAAAGACTGTATGTGTGAAAGGGGCTTATGTCTAACTGAGTTCCTGTTTAGCAGAGACAGACATGGCAGCTCCTGAGGGATGCTGGGACAGAGGCTGTCAGCAGGTGTTGAGGGAACCTCGTCATCTCATTCATGACTCATTCACATGTTGATGAGAGGTTCTCTCCGCTCCGCTGCTATCGCCGGATGGCTCAAACTGAGCCGCAGACACCTGCAACTTTAAACAGACCCTGATGGACGTTCAGGGCTCAGCTTTACTGACGCATGCAAGGAGCCAGGTGATGGCGGATGATTGTTCTGTCACACAAATTGATTTTCAGCAGGATCAGTGAGGAACGCGGTGTTCAGGGATGTTTGGATGTCTGTGCTCTGGGCCGTAATTGAACTGGTTACTGCAAACAGCTGAAATAAACAACTACAGCAGGACAACAGCGAAGAAGTGTCATCATCTACAAAACCACAGTCAGCTGCCTCACTGTCTACAGCTATATTCTGTTAAGGGTTTGTATCTAAATTCCAGCAAGTGCTGTAGTGAAATGGCTACTTACACTAGCATTCATGGGGTTGCAATGTTTTGTAATGTTTTAGAAAGAAGTCTCTTATCATTAGCAAGGCTGCAATTATTTGATCAAAAAATACATTAAAAACAGAAATATTGTGAAATATTACAATAAAAAAAAAATCAATTTGAATATATAATAAAATGTAATTTATTCCTGCGATCAAAGCTGAATTTTCAGCATCATTACTCCAGTCTTCAGTGTCACATGATCTTCAGAAATCATTCTAATATGCTGATATGCTGATGAACATTTTTTCAGGATTTTTTTGATTAACAAAATGCTCAAATGAGAACAGCATTTATTTAAAATAGAAATCTTTTGAAACATTTTTAATTGTCTTGACTGTCACTTTTGATCAATTTAATACCTAAAAAAAGAAATATTTTTTTTCATAAGAAAACAAAAAACTGACCCTATATTTTTGAAAGGTAGAGTAAATGTTTAAAGCACAAAGAGAGAAAAAATAAAAATAAAATTATATATATACAGTATATATATATAAATATAACCATATAACCACCATTACATCATTTTTGTTTCTATGCATCCTGAGCAGCAGGCAGAGGTTTACAGTACAGGATGTGAGAGGTGTTTCACTGACAGCGCTGAGCTGCTTACAGGATTAGCTGCTGCTCTCTCATCTCAGCACACACACACACACTCTCTCTCTCTCGCTCTCTCTCTCTCTCTC